GTTTAGAAGTTCCTCTTGAGGGGGAGCACTGTCCATGTTGCTGATGGTCATTCCAGCACAATTTTCTTTGCCGATGATAATTTCGGCACTGTTTAGAAGTTCCTCTTGAAGGGGAGCACCGTCCATGTTGCTGATGGTCATTCCAGCACAATTGTCTTTGCCGATGATCATTCCGGCATCTTCCATGTTGATGTTCATTTTGATGCCATTTTTAGCACATTGTTAGATTTTTGGTTTCTCATTTAGGAGATTTATTTTGATGTTATGTTACTTGGTCTTTCTTGTAATAAGCTTGTAGCATAGTCAAGGGGAAACCACGGCTGCTCACCAACTGTTAAATGAAATCTCTGAGAGGGATCTTGATGCTGATGTCCTGGTCAGCTCAGTTGTCTTTGCCGATGATAATTCCGGCACCATCCATGCTCTGATGTCCATTCCAGCACTGTCTCTTTATCAGCTCTTCAGACTGATGGTCATTCCAGTTGATTTGTTGTACTTAATCATTTCATTTCGTTGATGTAGCATTGTTGTTTTTGGTTCCTAATGGGAGTATTATTTATGTATCAAACTTGTAGCATATGATCTATATGCTACAACTTGAGGGGGAGTGTTAAGAGTGTTAGTGTTAATAGTGTAGAAGTCCCACATTGAGTGTGTCTCTTTGTATTCTTCAATTGGTTTGCTATATAATAGCATCAATGTTGTGTAGTTTAATACAACAAGGATTACTATCATTTCCTCTTGTATCTATGATATTTAACATGGTATCAGAGCTTGAGCCTCGCCGCCCCCCACTTTCTCTTGTGGACTTTCTTAGCACAGGTAGGCTGGGCCTGTTGCATCTTCCACTCTTCAAGCCCAGTGGGCTCTCGTGTGAGGGGCGTGTTGAGATATATAGTCCCACATTGGTTGTATGTGCAACTAATGTGGTCTTTATAAGACCTTGGGCACTCCCACCCTTTGAACTAGCTTTTGGGGTGGTCACGTCAAGGTTCTTAATTGAAACATATCGTCAATAGTATTATTTGGTTCAATAATCATTCGTGTGCAATTATATGGAGTATGGACTCCGCAATGCCTCGCCCAATAGTATATATTAAAGCTACTATATATCATTAAGGAGGGAGTGGATGGTCATCATGATGAAATTGTTTAAAGCCAGAGTGGAATCACATGCTTATATTCTCACAGGCATGCACAGCTATGAGCCTATGATTAATCCAGCATGTACGTCTTGTTTAAGAAAGCAATAGTAAGCTTTTGTTGTTGAATTAAACTCTTACTGGGCCAGTTGTATTGAAGAATCCAATTGAACAAGAAGTAAGAACAAAATAAACTGAAGGACAAGACTTCCAAACAAGTAATAAGTAACATAATTAATGCAGCTGCAATGATGCAGAGCAGACAGAGAAGGTAACAAACATAACATATCTTTGTCCCAAAAGGGAAAGGAAAAGGGGATGAGGGGTTGTTTTGGTTGAAAGACATGCTAAAACAGAAAATGATCCGCCTCCTTATTTTACAACATATATAGATGAAAAGCCAAGCATCAGACTTGCCTAGAGTGTACATTTCCTTCCCCAGGTCTCTACCTCCTTTCTTGTGCTATTTTATTAGGCCATGGCTCCAACAAGAGCGTGAACCCCAGAAACAAATACTTGATATTGCACCCAAGTGTTGTGGTTTCCAACCTTAAGAGCCTCATGATGTTCTTCTCCAGCAGCACTAAGAAGAAGAAACTCGGGAGATGATGGGAAAGAAGGGATTAGATTAGAGATGTTGGGGATCTGAAAATTAAGGGTTATATTTATAATGAGGCATAGATTTCTTAGTCCTAACTAAGTGGCCCCATCAGACGAAGGTTATTTCTGAGGTATCAATAATATTAGATATTAGAGTGGGAATCCAATGTATTGGGGCCATTATTTTGTAGCATTTTGCTTATTGTAAGGAAGATTAATAGAAAGGAATATCCTATTAATCGATTAGGTAAGATTCTACTGAAATTAAGAGTGGGAATCTGAGGTATTCGGCACTGTTCTAACATTGGTACCTGACTCCAGGTAAGTTCTTTGTCCAATGCCCATTATAAGACAAAGATGATACAATAACTAAATATAAATATTAAATAACAACTCCAAAGTGAATTCCCCAAAATCAACCGCCCCTTGCATCTCAACCATCCAAGAAGGGTTAACCTTAACATTGCTACATATAAATAAGGGTGTTCCCTCTCATTTAGGTCATATATATACAGGTATACATTTACATTTACCTTTACCCTCCATATTTTATACCTATATTAACTTGAGTTTCGGAGAGTTTATAGATAAACCATTTCTTTTGTTTACAGGAGCATACGGAGGAGCTGATTGCTACCACCACCTGGTCTACATCTACGGAGGTTTAAGCACAATCTCTTATTATGTCCATGTACATATGCGGATGAGTGTTAAGCATGTCTTATACTTCGCATGCTGACGAGGGTTCTTGTTATCAGAATCAGCAGAAAGGCAACTAGCTCCCAGGTGAGTGGGCTAGGGTCTGCGCCTTCAGACCCGTAGAGGCGAAGTATTGTTATGAGATTTATTGTAATTTTTCTTTTTCTTAGTAATATGGAATTGAGCCTATGAATAGCTGATGTTAGTATTTTCTAATCTTATTTATATTCTCCTAGTAAGTGGAGTGACTTAAAACGAGTGGCAGAGAGGTAAATATAGAACAGATAAGCTGAACGTAACTTAAATAGAGTGAATCAAGGTAAATCACTGTGTTAATTCTCTCTCTTTTTCTTTTTGTTTGCGATTTATGTGTGATTGTCGATTTTCAAGAAAGAGGCACCATTTAAAATAAACAAATACTAAGAAAATGATAAAAATAAAAAAGTGATACACAATGATAATGGTGCAGGCATTTGTTTAGAGCATTGACGTTGGATGGACAAGTGGCGGGTGTTTTATTCATCAACATGGTGGTGCTAACCAACTATTTTGTTGGTAGCCACGAGCCAGGTCGATACCTAAAGAAAAGCACGTATAGAGCAATAATTTCATTTAAATTATTATGTATGTTTAACAAGTTACCTACTCTTGGTGCAAAAATAAATACCATAAGGAAATCTCAGCCAAGTCACCCTAGTGAAGAATCAAGTTAATCCAAGTTTTGACATTGTTCAATAAAGTTCCACGTAACAAAGAAACTCGTTATGCTTGCATTCAAAATTTCAAGTAGTTATTAGGGAAGAAAAAGATTCCCAAGCAAGCAAGTAGTGCGGTCCTTTTAATTATGAGTAACAAGTATTCTAATCAAGTGCTGATCCGACAGGCCTGCCCCCATTATGAATAAACATTAAGTAGACAAAAGTATCTTTTGGTGTTCTTGTAATTATTTTCTAATAAAGTCATAATACATGTATTATTTCTTTTTATATATCTATTACAAAAAAAATTCTTTAAAAAAGAGAATGAGGTTGCTTCTTATTATATTTTTGGAAAAAGTTATACTTACGGCTATTTTCGTTTACAACCTCTTACAATCATATTTTAACCGTTGATTTTCGCCAATCAATGGTTATCATTTATTGTGATTTAATAATTAATTAATAAATTTGATTTGCAAAAATCTTAACCGTTGATTGACGAAAATCAACAGTTAAGATATATGATTGTAAGAGGTTGTAAAGAAAATAAGTTGTAAGTATAACCTTTTCTTATATTTTTATCAAAAAAATACTATAAACACTTAAGAAAAATTCGTCGAATTTTTCTTCATATTAAATTACTCACTTTAAAACCAATCACCCAATAACTACTACATGTTGCACGTTCGAAGCTAGTGCGATTGCGCCTGCTGTATATTTTGGGACTTAAAAGGACAAAATATCTACAAATGAACCTGTACGGACAAGGGACAACAAATCATGTTGCAACTTCAAAACATTCAAAATGAAACTAAAAAAGAAAGAAAGATAGTTTACTTATTTTAATAATGGGTAATATTTTTCTCATGCAATAGGAGATAATTATTATCTCCTACATACTAATTTGTGCAGGTGGGGTTCATTTTCAGGAGGAGAAAAAAAAATAGAGTGAGATTCATCTTGAATTTGTGTGTGTAGGAGATAAATTCTTTCTTGTATAACATAAAAATAATAAATCTCATTAATAATATAAAAAAATATGTGAAACGCACATGAAGTCAGGGCCTGTTTGGTATGATGTATAAGGCCTAATAGTATAGGTTTATACTATACGTTATGACATTTTCAGTTGTTTGGTGTGACCATCGTATAGTATAAGCTTATACAGCAAGATCCCTTTATACATCAAAATGATAGATAACTTAATGAAGCGTAACAAGGGGTTGATGTATTAATGTTACTTAAAAAGTACAATTCCCAAGAACTAATATATCATTTCAATATTAATATATTAAAATAATTTTTTTTATATATTAATTTTTAAAATATTGGAGGATATTATCTTATACAGTACCGTACCAAATGCTGGATAGTATTAAAATTTAATCAGGTCTTATACTATCAAACCTTATCCTATATTATGCACCAAACATGCCCTCAAACATGGACGTATGTATAAAGGCTTTAACCGGAATTCAAATTTGACCCATAAAACATAGGGTCCGTCGCTTCTCATGTGACTGCTGATGAGAAAAGTTGCAGCAAATTTTTAACACTAGGATACGCGTGCGGATCCTATCAAAAAAAAAAAACAGGATTCGCACGCGTATTCTGATAAAAGTAAGTATTGCTGCACTTTTTCTCTTCTGCAGTCACATAAGAAGTACTTTCCCGTGAAACATATCAACAAACAAAAACACAAAAGACTAATATAAGTAGGAGTGGGTCAAGTTTAGGTAGAATATAATATGGCCGAAACCCAAAAGGATATTAGCCCATTGGTATTGTTTTGAAAGCCCAACCCAACAACAGAAGAGTTCTCTCCCAACGAAAGCCCAAAGAAAATTAACGTTTCGAAAAGTGTGATTCCAATATCAAAAATCGTTTTCAGTCAAACGACGACGAGCACGCGCACTGAGCTTGGGAGCCCCAAATTTTAACAGTGAGTGAGGTCTTTGCCTGATTCTTCTAAATTTGAATCATCGTTTTCGCATTTGTTGTTTCGTTTTTGTGTGATGAGTTTGCATGCCATAAACATTTTCAGTTTCAGTTTTAGATTTCTTTCTGGAAGAAATAAATTTAGTTTTGAAATCTTTTAACCTAATGTTTCAGTTTCAGTTGCAAGTTGTGTTGGTTGCTCTACTTAGTAACCTCGTAAAACCACGATAACGAAGTGAAGTTGCATAAATAAGTTTCTTGACCTGCTATCCTAGTACTTAACTGATTGTCTTTTTTTTTTTTTCCCTTTCTTTTCAAACATAGTACTGCTTGTCTTTTATTATCTCTTCATTTTTGTTAAGGTCATAAATAAAGTTTCTAGTTTATTCATGATGAAACTCTAAAACCCAATTCCCACTTCAAATTGATATAAAGCCATTAAAGGTCCAGTTTTCGTGAAACCAAAAATAATGAAATCAATTCATGAGTTTATGAACACCATCTTATGACCAACTAATTTGTGGAAACCGTCTTCAAGTTTTGCTTTAAATGTCTTAATATAAATGGGTTTGAATTTGGCATTACTGTTGTGAAATATACACCAATGGTGAGCCATGGGGTTACTTTTAGTTTTTATCAATGAAGGAGCTTATGTACTCTATTGTCGATTGAGTTATGTATATGCTTCTTTCTCAGGTATTCTGAAGATGCAGTTAGCATATGCTTAACAGGATATAACTTGCCTGACAAAAATGGAGAGGAGGAATCGTAATAGTGTTTATGCTGTACTTAACTGTGATGACATCCTGCATGAGATCCTACTTCGACTACCACCATCAACTATCTCCAAATTAGTTATTGTATCAAAAAGATGGTTGCGTTTAATATGCAGTTCTTCATTTCGTCGTTGCTACTTGAATCAGTGGGGACAAAATTTTCGGCTATTGGGTTTTTTTGTATGCAACTTCTTATATCTTGGAAGACCTCGGGATGGCTACCGTCGCCCTCGATCCGAGCCTGCCCTTCCATTCTTGTCCACTTGTAAAGAGGGTGATGATTTGAAGCTTTCTGGAATCCTCAAACAACTTGGCTACTTCATGGATTGTTCCAATGGCATTATTCTTTCTGGACTCCATCCAAAGACATATTATGTGTACAATACCATGACCAAGCAACGATATCAACTTCCTGAACCTCAGCGGTTCTATAAAACTTTGTGCATGGCATTGATTGTTGAGGAATATCTTGACCGTGACATTAGCTACAAGGTGATCCGTGCGAGATGTGAATGCAAACTTAAGGAACGCAACACTGTCTCCATTGAGACTTTCTCATCAAGAACTGGAAAATGGAAGCAAACCACTCTGATGTGTTCTACATCTTTTGCATTGCGCCCAAGGACAGTAGGTATGGTGGTTGGTGGGGTTGTACACTGGTTTGCAATGTGGGGGAAACTTGTCATTTATGATCCTCGTCTTGGAGACAGGCATGTAGCTTTAGTTAAACTACCAGCAGGTGTGATAACTCATGAGCATGAGGAATCTGTTCTTGGGGAGTCGTCTGATGGGCTTTTGCTGTATGGTCAGAGCAATAATTTGGGTCTGGAGATATGGATACTTGAGAAGGAAGCAGGAGCCAACCCTTCCACTCACTGCAACTGTACTCATTTGAGGTACCAGTGGATTCTAAGGTGGAGATTAAATTTTAAAGCAATATGGAAACAGTTACCATCTTTAAACATGCATTCTAAAGAAACCCAGATATTATCATTTCTTCCGCAGAATTCTACATCTGTCTTCTTTAGATCCGGGTGGAACATTTTTCTGTATGATTTGGAGACCAAAACGGTGGAAATAGTTAATTATCAGGGTCGCGGAGCCTCCATTTCATGGGAATCTAGCAAAATAGTTCCTTACTTTCAACCGGATTGGCCACTCTCTTTCTCTGTGTCGTGACAGCATGAACATGATTTTTGTCAAATGGGAAACTTGTCTTTTTGATATTTTGATCCAATGGATGTTTTCCATTTTGGTTTTAATCTGGATATAATGTAATTAAAGTTTTTAGCTTCTTTGTTCTGTTTTGAAGTCTAGCTATAGTAGGAGTTTAGATTCAGTGGTATATATTGCCTATAGGCAGGCTACTGGCTAATCAGAACACTGAAAAATATTGCTCTTCTGATCATCGTTCTCTTTAGTCTTTGCTTAGAAGAATTCCAGCCTGAAACATTCACGACAAACTGCATGTATCTGTTTGCAAAGATGAATGAATGTATAATCTTTTTTTTTGTTCGGTAATTGCAGATGTCTAGATGAATTTCATACATCGAAAACCGATCTCCTTCACTTATATTATCTATATCTTGTGCTCAAGGCGGTGGTTTCGTTTCTACTACCAGTAAAGGCTTTCAAAGCTAGGTTTCAGATACATTGTGTATTTTCTAGAAAAATACAAGTCGAAATCTTTATTCAGTGCGATTTGATATCCAATTAACAAAGGCAGTACGGCACCTATGACCCCATAATAACCTGCCTGTAATCAATGAACTTGTGCAAGCTCCGAACTCACAAACATATATAATATTATGCATGAGGCCTACTTCGGTAAAGGAACGAACAAAGTATCGTCGGAAGTGGCAGAAAATCAGAACCAAATATTTAATATTCAGTAATTTTATAGGATTAATTATAAATTCAATAAAATTCTATAAATCAGAGCCAATTAATAAATATTCAGTAATTATGTGAGGCTCAAATTCAATATTGATTTTTTTTAATATTGATTTTTTTTTATATATATATATATATATATATATATATATATATATATATATATATATGGAAAAGTATTTCTTCAGTCTTTGAAGATAAAGTTATTTCCAATGAACCCAAAACAATATCGTTTTGGATTGTAAGATTAATAAATTATAATGATAAAACTAATATAACCCTGCAATAAATTAGAATTACAAAAATATCTTGATTTTCGTCCCAAAACGACGTCGTTTTGGGCTCATCGGAGATAATTTATCTCCATGGACTGGAGAAATCCTTTACCCCATATATGTGTTTATTTAATATTTAAATTATGAGATTTGTTATTCTACCTACTTTGTCTACTACTCTCAAATACTATTAGATCATAATCTCAACTACCATTATCATTTTTCATTGCTATTGAGATGAGATTCTGATCTAATGGTGTTGGAAAATAAATGCAAAGATAGGTATAATAACATATTCCCTAAAAAATTAAGAGAATATATCAAAACTTATTCCATAGTCATAGGTTAAAATAGCCAACTCGAAAGCAATGAAAAAAATTAAAATGAAAATGTGAATAAGTAAATCTAAAAAGTCCAGATAAATAATGTATTTTGTTGACATACATTGTGGGTCATGGGCAGTCATCAATAATTCCTGTATTTTGGTGATATTCCTATGCTTCTAGGTACAAAATCTTCTAAGTAAAACAAGGTGCTGACGAGTGGCTAGTCCAAATAAAAAGGTGGTCAAAATTTCATGAGAAAAGGCTATATGCTTTTGACTCCCATCCCAAAAGCTAGTTGCACAACGTAAAATCTGCACTATGTCATCCCCTTTTCAAACTACTAATAAATAAATTTCTTATGTTAAACACAATCTTCTTTCCGATGTAACCAAAGCAAAAAAAATAAAAAATCAGTTTCTCATGATAACATCTAACTGAATGTGACTTTATATCTCGGCGAAGGTAAGAGTATCAGTCGACCAAATCTGTAAGGGAAGCTGTCAGTCTGAGCGTGGCAATAAGAAACTAAAGCCAGAGTTCTCACGAATTAATGGTGGGGGCTCGATATCAGAGATATCTATCTGTTCCTTTGACTTTGATATGTCATCAACAGAAAACGGAATGCTGCAAAGTAGATGCTTCCAAATGGTTAATGACAAATACAAGGTCAAAAACATACATTTAACAAATGGAAGTATGTAAAATAGAGAGTATTGGTCTTATTCCACCATATCCCCTCAAATCAGAATTTTCTTTGACTCGGAACAAAACTATGGGTTTTGGGTATGGCTCATACTTCGCATGTTGATGAGGGCCCTAATTGTCAAGGTTAGCAGAAAGACAACTGGAGTCCCGCTCCCAGGTGAGCGGGCCCCCAGACCCGTAGAGGCTAAGTACTGTTGTGGACCTATGATTTATTATACTTTTCTTAGCAATTTGGGCTTGAGCCCATGAATAGCTGTTGTTAGGGTTTTCTAATCCTATTTATATTTTCTTTGTAAACCGAGTGACTCGAGTGCAAGTGAGATGAATATAGTACAGACAAGCTCGACTTAGCCTAAATTGGGTGAACTAGTGTAAATCTCTGTATCTATTCTCTCTCTTATCTTTTCATTTGCGATTTGTGTGACCGTCGGTTTCCAACAAATCCAATCAACGAGTAGCTATAACTTAGTAAATACAGGAACATGGTAATTTACTCTCTATTGTGTGAGTATTTTATTCTGGGAAAGGGACACGGCGGTAAAACTCAACTCACACAATTGTTGCCCTGCCAGTATGTACAGGGTTTAATGCATTAGTTCCTAAAGTAGTAATTACTAACAACGGCCAAGAAGTTGATATTTGACTAGAATCCGAAGTCAGGGAGCACACAGCATTGCTCTCGCCAACAGCCCCAGGCACTGGAGTTGCCACAAGATTTTTTCAGTTTTCATATTTACTTTATATTTGGTCATTAGCTTTGAAGTTTAAACTAATTAAAAAAAAAATCCACTCTACAAATTAAACCCGACTAGCAAGTTTGGGGTGAGGACAATCCTTGTATGCAACCTTACCTTTATAAATTTAAACTAATTACTAAAAATTATTTGGTTGTAGAACTAGTAAAATGTGAGTCAAATAAAATATTAATGAGGGTTTAAAAAAAAAGATGATTACCTGAACAATTATAATTACATGGTTGAACATTATTGGGCTTACCTTGAATCATCATCCAACAGGAAGGAATTACTAACTGCATTATTTGAATCTTCAGTCATCAACACTCTCATATTGGATATGACCTAGATGAAAACATTCACACGGCAAAGCTTAACACAGTTTCTCTGCACGTCTTTGATATGAAGTTATCATACTGCCTTCTGGCATAGATGACTTTAAAACGTTGTTTGAGTAATGGTTTAGTGTAAAAACTTACATCAGGGGACACGCTATGTGTGCCATACTTGTCATCCCAGTACATGGTGCTAATCCGATATAGCTGCTGTATACTGAGGACCTGTGCATAGGGAACCGACAATTGTAGGTGATGGGGAAAGTGAATTTATAAGTACAAAGTAAGATCTCTTTCACTTACTGGGCACAGGTCATGACTTATTTCATCGAGTGTTTTCTTTGGTTTCTGATGTATGACCTAAATTAAGGGCAGGAAAGATCAGTTACTAATATTTTACTATCTGACCATCAGAACGAGTACCATGTAGATGGTTTATAGGCAAGATAGAAAGATACCAGAAATCCAATAGCCTGTCTAATATGTTTGAGCTCATCCCAGGCTGAACCTGCATACTGCATTTTTTTTCCCGAGAGAAAAGGGGGAGGGGTGGGGTTAGTATCTATACCTTATTGAAAGCACTGCAAAGTATAACAGCACAGTGAAGTAATGCACCTCATCTGTTGCCTTATAACACCAATGCTCCAATTCAGCCAAACCAGCTTTCACATACTCTCCATTACTAAATGAGCAGCACTCCCGTCTTAAAAGAAGACTGTACGACAAATGCAGATGTGAGACGATAAGAATGAAAATTCTGATTTACAGAAGAGAAAACAACCCCAAAACAATGGTAAGAAGAGCAAACTAACCTATTGAAAAGTTGAACATTGATGAAAGAAAAAATTTGAGTGAACACCTTACGAACCAAAAATGGGGGAACCTGCCAAAATGAAGCATCAACAACAATGCCTTTATTCCAAATTAGTTGGAGTCTTTGTCAAAATAATGGGAAAAATCAGAACAAACATATGTTTTTTTTAGTAGACAGAACAAACATATTTAACACAAACGATACTGAATAAATGCAAACTTAACAACTCCAAAGAAAACATACAAACAAAATAAGAAGTTAAAATATTTAAATGTACCTGATGTTTGACAAAATTATGTAGATCTCCCTTCATGTTCTTAAAGTTACATAAGACTTTTTATTTTAATTATTAACATAAATCACCTTTATATTATATTTGAAGTTAGAAAGAAATTATGTCCAATTTTTAGAGACAAAAAAGGAGGCCATGTAATTCTGGTAAATTTCAAGAGAAGACTGCGATTTTATTATAGTCATGTATTTAATACGAGAGATTCAAATATTTTCGTGAAGAACCAGAAGCATTGCTGGCAAAAATTGCTATAAGAAAGAACCCAAAAAAAAAAAAAAAACACACACGGAGAAAGAGATAGAGAGAGAAATGATGCAGTCAAAAGAGGTTCTACTAACATGATTTGCTTTCAAAGTGTTTAAGAAGTTCCCAAGGCTCTTAACTATCCCCTGCCAGTGAGCAATCAAAGCTTTCTGGGCTTCAGTGTTTGCAACTGAACGTGATGATCCCTTAACCAAGCTCGCTCTGGAAGTTCTGGGAGCCTATCTCATCACATTCAAATAGTTATGCATTGAATCAATGAATTTGAAAGACGATATAGCATATGAAAAGCTTGATAAATTTATGAAAGCTTGCATGATAGATCAGTGATTCAGTAGATAGAAGCTTACTAGAGCATAATGAAGAAATTATTATACCTGGATGCATAATCCAAGCAAGGGAGAAATTTCTTTCTTTAAGTTATCTCGAATCATTCCATATATCTTTTCGACATAAGCTGTAAGCTGCTGTTTGAAAAGTAGAGCTGGGTACTTGGCTTCAACTTGTCTTAATGTATCTACTCCACCATTCATGCTACCATTAATTAGGGAAATATTAACTCCCGTTGGAGCTCCACGGAAACTCTGAAACAACGGTATAGGAATGAATATGCTTATCTGAAGAAGGATAGTTTCTTAATGGGAATAAATCTGTTCAAATATGAAGTTATATTTACTTGTGTCATCCTCCCAAACAGTGTTGCTGATGAAGACCGACGATGGCGTTGAGGAGCCATTCCAGCAGCACCACTTGCCTTAAGTGTGCGCTGCAGTAGCAAGAGAAGTGTAGAGGCATTGGATAACCAATAAGCCAAGACATCATTGTTATCCTGGGTTTTCTGTCCAAATAAAAATATTTTAGTGAAAATAAATATGTTAAGAAAGGGGAGAAAGATAAAGGGAGAACTATATCACGTGAAAGTTGAGCATTTTACACCTCAATTGCATGGCCAATAGTTTGGATTATACGATCAAAAACGCTAGTACGCTCAACTTCAAACGATCTCCAATGCAAGAGGCATTTGTATATGATACAGGCAGCAATTGGTCTATTCCCAGCAAAGCCTAGATGTTGTGCAATACATCTAATGAGCAACTCTTGGTTCTCCTGTTGTTTCTCATTTAGTGACTTCTGCGGTTTATCCTCCACTTCGGAGAACTCCCTGTGGTTCATTGATGAGCTATGCATGTCCTGATTTGTTTGTCAAGTGAAAAATAAAACTAGTTAAATCCGCATATACATACCCAAGACAAATAACAAAGATTTAAAATAAATTTAGTTACCAACGGTGTCTTTGCTTCCACTCCAATATGTCCGCTGTCAATTCTCTATCAACAGAGATAAGAAAACCTTTTAATATCTTTAAGATTCATATTATTATCATGTATATAAGATTCATTCCAAGGAGTACCTGCATAATTGATCTTGAGCGTCCTGAGAGGAACTTATTAGGTGCCATAGACACAGCTTGTTGACGTAGAACCTGATTCTCTGATTCTAAATTATTAATCTTCTCTTCTAGCCTAATCAAAGAATTATGAGATTTTAGTCTTTCATCTCACCAAATTAAGGGTGGATATGAATCATATGACATTATTGTTTAAGATGAGATTTTGGGAATTAGATATAAATTCTTCCAGCATAATACTAATAATAATTATTATCATTATTTCTAATTAGGGAAGAAGAGAAAAAAAAAAAGAATAATGTTTGATCAGTTAGCCAATAATATTATCATACTGTTCATGAGAAAGCAAATCCCTGCTACAAAAAATAAGGCACTCAAGAAGTTTGAAAGATCTCAAATCATGAATGGGTTACACTCTAATTCAATATTTTCAGTGTTGATCATCAATAATTAGCATGGGAAAACAGTATCATCGGGTTTATTGGTGGTTATTTATATTACCTGGTTAATGATTCTTGGAGCTGACGAACCTTCTTCTCTGTGTCTTCTAATTTTTCACTCTTTTCTTCACTACAAGCTTTGGCTTCATTGTATTTCCCTTCAAAGTCACCAGCTTTCTGTTTCTCTGACTCAAGAGAAGTCTGCGCAAAGATAAATCCAAGCCAACATCATTTGGATGCAATAATCAATATCCACCTAACAAAAACTTAAGTATACTACTATAAGCTTAAGAGGAAATTACGCTTCTCAGTAATTTTGTGATAAATTGAGAGCGACCCTTGGAGCGGCGGTAAAGTTGCTCCTTGTGACCAGAAAGTCAGGGGTTCGAGTATAAGAAACAGTCTCTTTGTAAAAATAGCAAAATACAATGGCGAGGCTGCGTATAATCAACCTTCACCCCTACCTTCACAAGTCAGGGAACCTTGTGCACCCGGATTTGTCTTCTTCTTTTTCCTTTAGTAGTTTTGTGATAAACCAACCAAAAATCATATGCATAAACACTGAATTTTATCATTCTTGTATTCGTTGGTACTGTAATCTGTCCACTAAAACCATTATCATGCCTCTAATTAAGAACTTAAGCTTTAAGGATGTTTGATTTTTAAAATGGTATCAAACACTCCATGATCAAGTGATCATGAGTTAGTTCCTTTCCACCTTCATTCTTAATTAAGTTTCAGCAAAAGGTGAAGTGGGTTTAGGCATTCTCTACGCTTTTAAGTTCAAAGGATTCTTGTGTGAAGGAACATGTTAAAATATAAAACCATTCATGTTCCACTACCTAACAATTTAAGCTTTTATGATGATTAGCTCTTGACATTAACTTTCTTATTTTCATCAATTATGAATACCTTGATTTGATTGTCAAGTATTAATTTGAAGAGAATGCACCAGCATGTGAATTTACTTTACTGTTTCTCATATTAATAGGTAGGAAACAGATCTTGTATCCCTTATTATTGAGGATCCATTGGAACTGTTTCTCATTCTCATATGAATACTCTGAACTGTGAAGTGTAATGCAAAGGTTTCATTCAGTTCTGAAAGCATCTTTAATGAGGTGCATAATTTAGCTCAGTCTACAAGCTAGGTCAGATCATTGGATATTTAATGACCAAAAAAAAATTACTGTTTAAATATCATCTTCATATTGACATTCTTTTCTGGTCCTCACTAAGATATGCCAAATTCCAAATATACTATCAAACTTGGTTGAAAAGTAGTAAAGGAGGCATAAGAAAGACGAACCACTCTAAAAAGGATATAAGTTGTATGTAATTGAAGTATATGTTGCCTACAATATTTCACTGTTAAGAAGCATTATATGCAGAAATAGAAGCGTGATTGAAACTAGGATAGTCTAAAAGAAGAGATTAGGTGTTTTAGGACTGAACTTGTTTTAGGACTGAACTTTCTTACCTTTAAGCTCTCAACTTCTGCGGTTAGTGATTCAATCTTCTGAGTGTCTTCAACAATAACCTGAGTTTCTTTAATAACCGGAGGTGCTTCTTCAATAACTTTCTTTGCATTCTCTCGCTCCTTTACAAGCATAGCATTGGTTTCTTCAACTTTGTTCTGCATCTCCTGTAGTGAATTCTGCAGTTTTGCAATCTCTTGTGCTTTGGATTCTTCTAGGTTAGTCTGCAGGATTCCACATAGCTTTCTTTAGGGCTTACAAATTGAAAGGATACTTGGTCACTTGCAAATATAGGTCTTTTACTCGCTCTTCTTTTTATTCCACATTTGTTCAAAATGTTTTGCAAAATGCATGATTGTGGAAGATATCAGAACAATAACATCTTCCAAGTTATATCTAACTGCAAAACACATATCTCACCCTTAAACTTTTTTCAAGTTGGAGACGCCAAGTGAGTTCCTCCACTCGTTTTTCAAGTTTATCCTTTGCTTCTTTAAGCGCGCCAGTTTCTCTTGCAGCCTAAAGCAAATGAAAACAGACGTCAACTGAGAGTAGAGAGAAAGATATAATACAAATGAGTAATAAGCAAATAGAATGAGACTTGTGCTACTTAAATATTAGAAGTGAGTCATATAGGAGCAGCTTAATTGGTTTGAATTGGTCATTCATAAAACCACAGAAAAAAGAAAAAAGAAATATTGCGGAAAGAGAAATTATGCATGATTATCAGTTCAGGCCCATGTGGATGGGATATTCTTTTTGGTTGTTCAGTAGAAAATATATTTTATATCTACTTCACGTTTCACATCTAAGATGTGATTATAGTCAAAGAATTTAAAATACAAAGATAATGAAACTTTGGCTCCTATAATCAGAAGTGAAAAGTTAAATCCAATTTTTATTTTATAGATCAGAAGACAACTTTTATTTTCTTTTTTTGTTTTCACTTTATGAAGATAATGATAATGATAAAAAAAATCATATGGACATTGTATAAACTTTTATCATATGAAGCTTGCTTTTGTAACAAAAAAAATCAGATAGTGTCATTTGCCTTGTGCGACTTGAGTTATGTTCGTTGGATGCCTAATAATTTTACTTCTCTATTTCTACGGGTTTTATTTAAGGATGGGATAGTTAAACAGCTTCTTTAAGAATCATGGAAAATATAGAAACTTACCATTTTCAGTTTCCTAAGTTCTTTCCTGCCCACACGCCCCCTCCATCGGCATTGTGCAACTATTGAACCTTTCTTGAGCCTCTTATAATATGAAGCAGCTTTGTGGCATCGCCACCGAGCCTGCAATTTTTGAGAGAGAATTTAAGTAATGAATACTGATCACTCTTGTGGATAATCCTAAACATATAGTAGTCAACTATAACCTGAATAATAATGGAAGCTTTAGTCTGTTTCCTAAGTTTGAACTCCTTAAGGGCAGAGACTGCCCTTAAAGCTGTTTGCAAAGTAAGTACTGATGCTTGGAGTTTAGTATAGGCTTTCCAAGCTTCATATCTGCGTAAGTTCTTCTGAATTTTCACAGCAGCAGCCTCCCTTCTCATATTATGATAAAGTTTGCATGCAAGTCTTCCTACAGAACATATTTTGCATGTGAAAAATATGTAAAGAAAGGAGACAGATTAAGCATTGAGATATCCTACAGCACTGAGATACACCATTCTATTTAGGGAAGTCCATATATTATCACACCTATCCCAACAAATGATTTGGACAATTTCACTTTTAAAATATTTCACCTCTCCATAGAGACTGCACATATACGGTCTTCTTTCGCAGTGCAAGATAATGTTTACGAGCCTGGTGGGTTCGTACACGCCGTTGGATAGTTTTTGCTGCATTACTGAGTACTAGAGCTCTTCGTGCATCTAGTTCAGCCATCTGACCTGCTCTTAGGAATACCTTTGTTTTTCCGATCTACACACAATTGACAGGCAATCAAATGAACTTTGTGGCCATGAATGTGTGTGTGTGCATATCTATATATATTTATAAATATGCGTGTTATATGATCATACAATACCCTTGTTGACATTAATTAATATAGCTGAAAGAGGTATTATATATTAATGATGCAATATCTATGAATTGTAGTTGTTGCTACGGCCTTAAGAGCTTTAAAGATATTCAAACAACATTTCAAAGTACCTGATATCCTTTAAGCCCTATCTTTTCCAGAATCTTTTGGCAAACAGTCTTCTCATCATGGCTGTCCATAAGTGAAAAAACTAAGCAAATTACCATTGTCGAAGTTTGGTACAGAGTATTTGAAAAAATAAAGCCAGAATTTCCTCTTGCGCATTAAATGTATACTAGAAGAGTTCATACTTTGCTTCTGCGACCTCTGGAGCAAGGAGAGAAAATCGGTTTATAAACTCAAAGAAAGCACGGCGAGTAGGGTAGCCAGCACAACTGATTCTGATTGCCTCTAAAACACCCTGTGTGGGCAAGGATTAGAGACAACTGAAGAAAGGTTGAAAACGTGAAGAAACTATGGCCATACTTTTGTACAAACCATCATCCTAAGAATGAAATAATGGAGAAACATCAAAGTGTACTCACACCACAGCGAAGTTGTTGCATAATATTAACATTCTCAAAAATTGCAGGTTTGAGGAGGTTGTTTGGTTTCACACATCTAATGTAATGAGGCTCTGTAGAGTTTAGTGTCTCCATTAGTTGCTGTAGTTGCAGCTGCACCATTCAGGATATGAAAACATGGTTTGTTAGCTTCCTAATTGTAATAATAGAGTTCAATTTAGTAGGCCATGACATGGGTACATGTTGATGTGAGAAGTTTATTGTTATTTATGATAATGTCCACAAATTTAACAATGAAGACTTGAAAAAGAATAATACCTTAAAACGAGAACCAATTGAAGAAAATTTTGAAGATTTTGATGTCTCTTCTGGAAGTTGTGGAAAAAGCCCTGCTACAAAAGGACATTTGGAAGCACTCAATAAATCTTGATGTTCAGGAACCACATAATCCTTGTTTTTGTCTAAAAAGTGGTCAGACTGGTACTGCACCTGCACATTTATAACCGTAGAAATGAATAAACAATGATGTCTCATTGTTGCTGAAGCTGATACTATGAAAATAAGACTTACCTCGCCAGCATAATGAGAAATAGTGAAATCTGTTCGAGACAATTTAGGTTTAATAAAGCGCTTGTGATTCTTAAATGTTTGATAAAGCTTGTTCGAAAAAGTTTCATGAGTTGACTTTGGAAACATGCTGAAAGAAAAAAGGAGGGGGAAAAGTTAGAAAAAAAGAGTAAATGCAATACACGAGCTTTAGATTTAAAACAATAAGACAAAGTGGATCATGTCACCAAAGGAAGAAAGTTAAAATCATCTAGCAAGCTATGAACCTCCATCCTTTTAAGGAAGAAATTCAGGGGAGAAAACAATATTTTACCAAGCTTCATCAAGGAGAGCTACTATTCCTCCCGGTTTCTGCAAAAAGAAAAAACAATATAAAAGACTAGTACAAAAAGAAGGGGGGAATAAAGTGGAAGGAAAAGCTGACAAAGGGATTGAATTTTGGCAAACTGTAAAATAACCAAAATTATAACCTAGTAAAAGATCACTTTGTAACAGCAGTTCCTAATTGTAAACTTATGTTTGTTTGAAACTCAAAGATATAAAAGATTGTGTATACTCAACATGGCTCTTGCGGTTTGATTCTAAAGAAGCAACAATAAAACCAATTAACCGAGTTCATTTTCACCCTCACCCTCAACCCCATCCCTTCCCCTGCTTCTCTTCCTTTATAAATGTGAACAGTTGTCTTGTAATTCTTAAGTTGATCATTGAAGATTGGGAACAATAGAATTTCCATTGTTTATAGCCGACATATAGTCACACAAAATAGATTGTGGGATAAAATTTAAATAATAGGATAATGTTACGATCACTAAGCAAAAAGAAGTACAAACAAAGGAACCCAGCAATGCAATAAGAGAGAGAACTGATTTATTGCTTCAGGAAAAGACAGTTACAAGAGATTAATTATCTCTTCACAAAGGAGATGCCCCTCCTTTCTCAATAAGAATGCTCTCATTCACTCAACTGAAAATAAAATGCCTCCATTCCACAGGGCTACTACCCTCCTATTTATACACAGTATCTCAGAACACCCCACAACTAAATATTTTATCCTTATGCTTTTATTTCTTCTGTAGTAAGCTCTCCAAACAGCCGGTCTCCTATCTTCCGGATAAACATCCGTAACAGATAATTAGTCAAGACATTATTATAAAGATTACCAATAAGCACATCAAGAGCATACTCGTATTAGCTTTCCATTTCATTATGTTACTGAACATCTAAGTTTACTGCTTTCAAACTCAAAATGAACAACTAAGCATCCTCAAGCCTTAAGGAAAGTGAAAAAAGAGAAAGAAAACCTTTTCAATAAGGTCCAAAACGTCTTTGTTGTCAACAAATTCAATGTAGCTCCAATCAATCTGCTCCTTCGTATATTCTTCTTGTTCCATTTTAAACACGTGCTGAAATTCATTATAAAAACATCTTAAACAGGGAAATAACGGTCATAAGCAGAAGTTAAGCGCTTATCATGGTCTGAGACTTTGCCTGGTTGAAATGTTGCTGTAACTTCTCATTTGTGAAATTAATGCAAAACTGCTCAAAACTGCAGAGCATGATAGGCTGAAAATAAGTTACAAAGGATTGAAAACAAACAGAGGCAGTTGCTTTCAGTATCTTCAGTAAAGCAATCTTGTGGATGTACTTTTAAACTACATATTACCTGTTAGATTTAAAGCTTTCAAAACCATAGATATCAAGGACCCCGATCAAAGATTTAGAATTGGAGTCTTGCCCGATTGAATTATTAATCTTGTCCACCAACCTGTTAACAACCACATTAATGCACCAGGGATCAAAACCAGAACCTAGATCCTTACCTTCTGTATTTGTGTACTATCTAGAATTATAAAGGATAGAAAATATGGCTTTGTTTCCATTTTCAGCATCATACCAGTCAAAAAGCCTAGAATAAATTGTTTTTGCCAAGCCATCTCTGCTGATTACTGCACTCTGGGGATCAAGGCTCCGTTTTATAACTTCCTCAGGGGTGATCATGACACGCTTACATAATGCATCTTCCAAGGCATCAGCATCACACCTGATAAAGTGCGAAATCCAATAATGGAAATCATCTTAAAGGTAATTGAAAATCATATGGACATACAGAGTAATAACTCAATGGCATCCATACATGAGGAGCTCAGCAGTTGTTTTTAAGTGGAATTTGGCTTTGTCATCTTTTGGAATTGATGAATCAACTTCCTTTCCTTTGGAAAAATCAATATTACCAATATGAAGAATTGCAGCAACAACTCTGAAAATTGCTTCCTAACAAAAAGACAGCAGGGAAAAATAGAGAGGTAAGAAGCTAATCATTTCATATTTTAGCAAGAAAGAAGCAAAATTTACACTCATAAGCAGAAATACCTGCTCTTTTTGGCTTATTCCAACAATATCCATAGCTCTCCTGGTGGCAAGATACTCACGAGAATCACTTACATCAGCCAGTTCATAGCATTTTGACTGGTTAAGGTAATGAAATGCTTTAGGATTTCCTAATTTGTATTTCTCAATTTCCTGTTAACAAAAATTGCATTGAGTTTATATAATTAAAAGAATCAAGAAAAAGTAGATTATGCAGCAAGTTACCTCTTGTGGTGCAGCACAAAGAAGATAAAAACAGTGGTAGTTGCGTTCAGGATCATTAATTTGGCAAACCCGAGATCTCTCTAGAAGGTATGTTCGAATGGCTGCTCCTGAGATTCTTCCACTCTTATCAAATTGGATCTCAACAAATTTACCAAAACGACTGAAACATTCAAACAAGGAGAATTTGCAACTAATTCTTTAGTTAAAGATTTAAAGTTAAGTATGCATCATGAAGCAGTTTATGTTCCACTTCTGGAAAGCAAAGTTGATAAACTGCAATCAATTTAATTGTAGTCAGTAACACATCAAGTTTTGGTAATATGATAGAGAACTAGGGGAATGCAATGAGACAAACTTGAGATACAGTTAATTTATACATCAGAAATGAAACACAAGGATCCTTTATTGCTCGGATGTAACAAAGACTCAGAACAAATATAATATGTGTATATTAGCGTATCATAGAGATTAGAGAATAAAACACAATGAATTATCTACTGCCCAAATGTAACAAAGACTCACCTGGAATTGTTATTCCTGACAGTTTTAGCATTGCCAAAAGCTTCCAGAACTGGATTTGACTGCATGCAGATCAGTTAATACAGAAGTCTCAAATGACTCAAAGTTCAAGAGAAAAAAATGGAATGTCATTGGTGGGGGGAAAATGGAAATTTTGTTAGTTAAAAACTGTGTGATTTACTGAATCATACTTCAAGAACTTGTTGTTCAACTGTTCGTCCTTCTGTGACAGCCCTTCCACCTAAGAAAGCAAGGTATCGCATGAGCATTTTTGTAGTTTCAGTTTTACCAGCTCCACTTTCCCCACTGACCAGAATTGAATTGCTTTTTCTTTCATTAACCATTGCCCTGGTATTAATGAAATCATCAATTTAAAATTTGGTTCAATGATAGAAATTGTATTTGGATCATTAAGAAATTTAAATTACCTGTATGCAACATCAGCAACTGCAAATACATGAGGGCTTAACTCTCCAAATGGTGCGCCCTTGTATTGTTGCATCATGTGCAAATCATAAATATGAGGAAGTCTTTGGAATGGATTTATTGCAATCAGAATGTTTCCAGTATAAGTCTGCCATAGCAATCAATAAAAGAGGTAACAGCTTTTTGGGATGATAAGCTACGCAGGATCTTATCATATTAAAGGAAAGAGAGCCTTACATATATTTCATTCAATTCATATCTACTTTTTAAGTTCTGCAGGACTCCAGGTTCATGCAAATAGGACAGCTTAGTCATATCATCCACTCCACCAGCAGGAGCTTCCATATCTTTGGGATATAATTTTGATAATTGTGCAACAACCTTGAAATAGCCATAATAGAAGCACACGTAAAAATTCAGAAGTAATCTTTGCCTTACTACAATATTTTGCAACTATTCTGGTCGGCAATACAAGCACTAGAAAAAACAATTTCTCCAAAAAGGAATTCATTAAAAATCTTCCTGAAGTATCAACATTTTTATTATTTTCTAATTGCAGAAAAGAATGCCTGGTGGCAATAATTCAATTACTGCAGAAAAAGGTCAGGAAAAGAACAGAGACATAGATAAGAGATAAACTAGCTTACAAGTCCATTGATTTTGACAGTAGATTTTCAGGAAGTTAACCATTAATAATTTTCCATTGATCCTAATGATGATTTAAAGCTCAAGCCGAAGCTGGGAAGGTAAAGGATGAAGAAAGAATGATCATTTATGGATCTCTGTTGGAAATAATCAAGTATGAGCTGTAAAGAAGTACCACATAGACTAGACATAGACCAAGTGGTGACCATATAAGTGTGAAAGACCCATAAACCTACAGCCTTAAGGTTTTGGGTTGAGATGTGGTGTCGGCCCACTTATTATGGTTTGTCATTTAGCTCATTGGTGCATGTACACCCTTTGCAAAGGGTTTTGGGCTCCCTCGTTCCATTCCCAACAGTGGTATCAGAGCCAACGATCTGGGCCAAGTGTTTGAAAGGCCTGTGCAGAAGGCTAGTGTGACCCTAATATTTGAAAGAAAAAAAAAAAAAAAGACTTCCGCAGAAGTTGCCCTTAAGGTAAGAATGATATTGGGCATCACTTGAGGGAGGATGTTGGAAATAATCAAGTATGAGCTGTAAAGAAGTACCACATAGACTAGTTGACCATATAAGTGTGAAAGACCCATAAACCTAAAGCCTTAAGGTTTTGGGTTGAGATGTGGTGTCGGCCCACTTATTATGGTTTGTCATTTGGCTCATTGGTGCATGTACACCCTTTGCAAAGGGTTTTGGGCTCCCTCGTTCCATTCCCAACAATCTCTTGTTATTATTTAGTGTTTTCCAACTTATTTCTTTCTGTCATCTAATTGAAGTTCAGATACAACTACTGACTGCCACTGCAATAAACATAGAATGCTCACAAAGGAGAGGCAAATCATTCCTTTCATCATTATTTGCTCTTTGCTTTTCTATTAAATGGTGCGATAAAAGAAACCGATGTGAATTGTTTAGCTATTCAGTACAGTATGGCATTTATTCCAGAATGCGATTGTGATTTATCAAAGTGAGGAGGCAAACTGTCAATAACTAAAAAACTGACCACAAACCCATTACTCTTCTTTGTGGACATCAAAGCGGGGGGGGGGGGGGGGGAATTAAAAAAAATGAAAATTGGGAACAATGTTAATGGCAGCCTACAAAGTACAAACCTTCTTTCCATTGGTAGTTTCAATTTCGGCATCCTTCGCATTGATTTTTGATACCTGTCCATCAATCCAAGATTCATCTGGGTCTTCAACCCAGACATGAGAACCCACAATAATATTCACTGGAGTCCCCTGCAAATAGAGATAAGGAACAGTCATCGTTTTACTACAAAAATTTATGCAGAATGCATATATTTTTGAGCAAGATAAGCTCACAAAAAGTTTACATATTTTTACTACAAAAAATTGTGCAGAATGCGTATATTTTCACTACAAATTTTTTAAATTATCTCATGCGCTAGATAAGTTGACAAATAGTTTACATATTTTTGCCCCATGAATGGACATCTGGAAGGATTTACCAGTTCTAAACTAAAATACATGTTGAATTGATGCAAGTTTCTTCCTTATACTCAGTTAGACCCGTGTTACCAGCATCCAAATGAAATATAGCAGAATGTTTTGCCACAAAACATTGCAAATAGTATCATAACAACCAACTGAATACCACATAGCACATAAGTCAGATTTCATCACGAGTTAATAGCTATATGACAAGAAATCGTATTTCTTGCCAATTAATTCTCTTGTACTTTTTAAAATTAGGATATATTTTGAGTTCTTTAATCATTAAAAAATAGAAAATAATTACCTACTTTCACATCCTCATAGAAAATCAGAAATTACAATTCTCAACAGTCCTGACACAAGATCTTTGGCTACTTTATAGAAAATAAAATGTGAATGGTGTATTTTGCAGTGAATGATTCATCAATCATTACATTACATTTTTGTTTACTTATGTTTCTATAATCATAGGTGGCATCATGATCCTTTTGCACTGCTGCTTGAGCTGGCCAACTTGATCTAAATACAAATTTCATTTGGTTTAGGATTTTAAGAATGAACTGTGTCTCCGGTGCTCCTACTCTTTCAAATTCCAAATAATATAATAAAGAGGGAGGAAAAAGGATCATCAATGTATGAAACAGTTTCACGTACCATTACTAAGCTGTAAACTGGAAAGTTTTGGAAGCCTCAACCAGTCAGTATCTTCATGATGTGAAGAAAACAAAGGGAAAGGGCATTTTGTGGGAGAGAGAGAGAGAGAGAGAGAGAGAGAGAGAGAGAGAAGAGAGAGAGAGATGGTGTGTGTAGAAGTGAAAGTGGAAGTGAATGTGGATCGAATGGCTCCTGGAATCGACATTCTTCAACACGACCTATAACTTCGGCACCTTCTTCTTCTTCCCTTTGCTTTCGCGCCATCTCGTGGCTACTAATCAACTCTCTCTCTCTCTCCCTCGCCTTTTAACAGATTTCGGACTCTTCTCTTCTGTTCGACAACATATACATATTTTGGCTTATTATGTGAATGAATTTTATTATTCATTCAAAATCATATCAAGTTTAATTATGTAATTCTACCAATGTATTAAACTTGTGTTATAGAGTGAAATATAGGCTTTTGTAGTAATTTATTTCGCATAAAAAATTATATATTTAAAATTTGATTGGTGATCTTATTAAAATTAGTAATTTTAATTCAAATGCTAAAAAATCTTAATTGGAGTTTTTTTTTTTAAAATGATTCATGACCCTTTCCTTTATAAATATCGATTATACAATAGAAATAACTCTCATGAACACAATTTATAATATTTTGCTAATGCAGGTTGATTGATAAACTAGTTGAAAGGATTCAGATAAGGTTATGCTCTCTTCATGTATATATGACTAAAGAGGTGTCTTCCCCCTTATTGCCTAATAAAAAGGGTCTTTCATCTTTGAAGGTATTTCTCTAAGCATGCATAGCATGTCTGAATAATACCAGGGAAATATATTCATACTTTGGTTTTCAATTGATGCATATCCACTCAGTAATCAAGAACAAGACACTTGTACCTTTTTCTTTTTTTTTCTTTTTTGAGATCCACACTTGTACCTTTATGATTAGGACAATAACCTCGTAATGCGCACTTAATAGATCTATATTGGAGTTTTCAGTTTGGATCATCCTATGTAAAAAAGTTGTTATATGATTATATTATTTAATCACAGTTATTTATTTAAAAATCTTATTTTTTTTTTCTCTTATCTCATCATCAATGAGTGAGTGATTGTGATCAAGTACTATAACTAGTATTCAAATCTGGAGTTTTTGACTGTTTGTAATGACCATATTTTATTCCACGTACTCTTTCCCGAATCAAATAATTTGATTATAGGCCTATTCCAATCCAAATAATTTAATTGTTTATTATAAAAATAAATTATTTGGATTGAGGAAACCCGTTCCCCGCATCACCGGCGAAACTCGCAACCACCAACTACAAGCTCTCCCTGCCCTCAGCCGCCACCAAGCCACCATTTTTCCCTTTGTGTTGGCCACCATCATCCTTGAAACCTTTGAGCAGAGTCGTTATCTGTGCTTGAATAAACTGATGCAGTGATGCTAACCTTTTCTTTCTTTTTATATTCTTGTATCTTGTAATTCTTTATTCTTTCCCTTGTTATCTTCATTGGGTCCTGCTACATGCGTTTGGTTTTGGGCCGAAAATATTATGGCCCATATAGTATTTGTTTTAATTGGTGGTGTTTTTGTTCGAAACCTAAATATTGATGGATTCATATATGGCTACATTGCAAGACAAACAAACTCATAATAGTGATCAATCTGCCACTCTTTAAAAAAAAATTCAAATATCATCCGAACAAAAAAAAAAATTTGAAAGTGTCATGTATGCAAATTCATTACGACAAGGAGCGAACTACGTTCGCAGACGTGGCTCATTTCTGATAGCCACCTAATTCATTATTAGTACAAGCAAATTAGGTAGTTAAAATTTCAGTCTGCTCTGAACAAAAACAAGACACATGACAATCGCAGACAATTTGCTACCTTACATAGTGAATTAGGTTGTAAAAAAAAAAAGTCACTGCAATGGTCACTGTTTGAGAAACACTATTTATTTTCTCTTTCAACATTACACAATAATGGGTGAGGAATTTTCAAAAGCGGTAGAGGAGGGGCTGAGGCTATCGAAGCGAATATACTTGGGAAATGACAGGGCGATGTCACCGCCAAAGCCTCCAATCACAATGCCCAAGTCCAACACCGCATATCTTCCAACAGCACCAATGCTTTATGCTATCATCCATAACCTTGCCATTGTTGACAACCCTAATGTCCCTAGTTACCAGCCTCATGTGCATGGTAGGTGCGACCCCCTGCCTCATTCCCCTTCACATGATTGTCATTAATCTTAAAGATGATTGCTATCTCAACACTGTTTATTTTCTCTCTCAACATGACACAATAATGGCTGTGCGAATTTGTCTGCCACCCTTTCAACAGTATTGAGAAACACTGTTTATTTTCTCTCTCAACCCTTCCAGCAACTTTTTTTTTTTTGATAACCTAATTCATTATGCAAGGCAACAAATTTGATTGTGATTGCCACATTTGCTCAGAGCAGACTGCCATTTTGACCACCTAGTTCGCTAGTACCAATAGCGAATTAGGTGGCTAGCAGAAATGTGCCACGTCTGCAAACGTAGTTTGCTCCATATCGTAGCGAATTTGCATGCGTGTCACTTTGAAAAAATTTACTATTCGCGTTATATTCGATAATTTTTTTTGAAAGGGTGGCAAATTGATCACTGTTCCACAAAGCAGACTATACAAATAATTTTTAAAATCATTTTAGGCTGGGCTAAATATAAGATCAAATTAACTCCAAAGGGTGGCACAATTGGTAAATAGATTGTGCCCAAGGAATAGATGAGTTAGTGGTAAAATTTTGTACGCTTTACACCATACACTAAACTATTTTTTTCACGGTTCATCGTTTCATGACTAGTCAGATTCGGGGTGGGTCCCGGGACTAAAGCTTTAAACTCCTCTCAAAGATGGTATTAGGGAGGATTGAACACATGCTCTCATCCTCACTTGCTCAATTCTCTAGAGTCAGCTAAGCTACCATCATTTGGTACACTAAAATATTCTATAACAAAAGTTTAACCAAATCTAAATAATTCAATTAATTCAACCACCGGTGATAACTCAGCATAACTATATACAAGAACATTATTTATACGAAATTAAAAATTGCTAGAAATTACCAAAAAAAATTGCTAGAAAATAAATAGCACTATCACACAAAAATCCAAAACGATCCATATTGTTGAGTTATTTATGTTCTTCCAAATTACCAAAAAAAAAGTGACCATATTGTTTATTTTTATTTTTATTTTTATTTTACAGATTTCACAGTAAATTTTATACATCATCCGAAGACTTCAATTTTGTTTTCGTCTGAATTTTATAAGAATACACAAGATGACGACCATATAAATTAATGTAAGTTGGTGACCAGAATAATTTGTTATCAATGTTTATTGAACTTATGGTCTTTATTCAGGTATATCTATTGTTGTCAATAAGTTAAAAATAGACATACCTTTTTTATAAAAACATAAAAGAATAAACATTAATCATAAGTAGCTATAATTATCAAGATTAGGGTCAACACGGTTGGATTCAATTTGGTTTGATATTTTATACTAAACTGTATCAAAAAGTGGTTCAATTCGAGCTAATTGGTTCACTTTAATAAATTAATTAATTATTGAATTGGTTCGGAAAAATAGTTTAATTCTTAGACTAATTCAGAAAAATATAATATGACTTACAAATATATATATATATATATATATATATATTATGATTTGAGGTCTGATCATGATTTGGTTCATTTGATTTTTTTCACTTTTAAGAAGGAATATGGTTCCGTTTCAAATCTAATCAAACCAAATTGATAAAGTATTTCAATTATTGACAAAATCAATTTTTTTTTTAAAAAGTTCAATTCTTGAATTAGTTCGAAGAAATTAATTTGTTTTTTAAGCAGATTTATTTGATTCATTGATTTTTTTTCACCAATCTATTCAAAACATCTCTAAAAGAGTAATAATGCATTTTTTTTTTCAAGAGGAAAAAGTCTCAATGTGTTGGACATAACTAGTTTCGAGGAAACTTCTCAATCATGTGGAAATACGGTCAATATATGTCCCCATGATTGAAAATGTCAACGTCTTGAAGAAAATATATGTTCTAGTCTTCGCTCGTTTATCTTATAATGGTCTTAATCGTAAATATCTTGCGATTTAAAGAGAAGGATAGATCCTGCACCTTTTTTATGATTTATAGGTCATACCACGTGCAATTAAAATTCAGGGTCTTGAAAAAAAGGACTAATCATCAAATAAATCGACAAATTATAGTCAAATACGTACTAAGAATTCAAGAACTTTTTTTTTTTTGAAAAAGAGAATTCAAGAACATTGTTAGAGTCGGCAAAACGGGCTCGGTTCGGCGGGCCAATCCGCTAAACAGAGCGGGGCAGGCTGAGTTTTTCAACCTATCTCAAAAGCGATATGGGACGAGCTCATTTTTTAGCAGGTTGATGGCGGTCATAGACGGGCTGAGACGAGTCAGTGCAAAATAGGCTCAGACTGGCGGGCCAACGCGCCAAAACGGGGTAGGACGGACTGAGTTTTTGAGCCCACTTTCAAAAATGGGGCGAGTCGTCCACTTTGCCACCTCTAAATTGTATAAGGAGAACGAAAGAAAGACGCGTACTTTCGCTAGTTGATACATCACTTGTGTAAATGGCAATCACACACGCATAGTATTTTCCCGAATAAAAATGAAAATAAACATCAACTATGGTTGAAATAGTGATGGAAAATTTAAATGATCATAACAAATTACAAGTTCAACTTTTATTCTTATGTTTAGTGTCGAGAAAATAAAGTTTTCTGAAATTCAAAATGATGTCAATTTAATATTAATTTGAATAAATAATAAATAATATTTTGAAAAAAATATTACAAGATAAAAAAAAATTCAAAACTTTTTTTTAAAATTTAAAACGACTTTTTTTGTGATAAAAACACCTTTTTCTTCATTAATATTCTTATAAAACAAAAGTAAATATTAAAATTGAGCAGTTAATTAAAAAATTAGAATTGAGGATATTTCAGTTTCCTGATAAGATACAAACGGACTAAAGAAATATGTGAATTTATACATAAGGATTATACGAAGAGTATCTAAAGAAGACAAAATAAAGGCAAAAAATGTACACGATCATTAAATTATTGCGAATTCGTATAAAAAAAATTATATGACACCGCT